GCTGCATTACATAGCAGCCCGTATCCACTTGCATAGGTGGTATACGCTCTGTTCTTTATATCTCTCTCCTTCTCAGCCATTATATATTCCGGATATTGCTTTTCTTGTTTCGTCATTACTGCAACCGCTTCTGTTACTTGGCGATTTTAATACCCATCATTTTCTCTGTGTGGGGTCTCACTGTGATTCCCGTGGCATTCAGTTAGAGGCTTTTCTTGCTACCCACCCCCTCCATGTTTTAAATACAGGTACTCACACCCATTTTGATCCTCGGACTCACACTCTCTCTTGCATCGATTTCTCAGTCTGCTCTTCCTCCACCGCATTAGACTTCACCTGGTCTGTTCTCCCAGATTTACATGACAGCAATCATTTCCCAATCATTCTTCTTCATATTCACCACCTCTTCGTATCCCACGCTGGCAATTTGATCAGGCAAATTGGAACCTTTACTCACAACTAACTGTTTTTAGTGAGACTCCTTCTTCATCCTCCAATGATGAGCTTTTACATCTCTTCTCGTCCTCCATTTTAACCGCAGCTTCTCATTCTATACCTGGAGACCTGGAGTTTACCTGGAAAGAGTTTCGGGGGTCAACGCCCCCGCGGCCCGGTCTGTGACCAGGCCAAACTTCGGGCAGGCATTCTCAGAAATGCGTGCCTTGGTGTTCTCCTCCTTGTGCTAGTGCAGTATGTTTGAAACGCACTGCATGGGGCAGGTACCGGTACACTAGAACCATGGAGAGACTTATTGATTTTAAGCAGAAGCGTGCGATCACTCAGCGTGTCATCCGTGACGCTAAACTCACTTGCTGGCGAGATTATGTCTCCACCATCACCTCTACCTCCTCTATGAGTGAACTCTGGAAAAAAGTACGAAAACTGAGTGGTAAATATTCTCCTGACCCGGCTCCTGTTCTGCGGGTTGCCGGTGTTGATATAACAAACCCACTAGATGTTGCCAATGAAATTGGCAATCATCTGGTCCGTATTTCTCACGGGCTCCATCTATGCCCCTCGTTTCTTTCCTCAAAGTCTGCCAGAGAGTTAGTACCCTTGGACTTTTCTTCTCTCAGGGAAGAACAGTATAATGTGCCTTTTACACTTCAACACTCTCAGCTTGCCGATCATCGGCAGCTGGGCCCGACGACATTCATATTCGTATGCTACAACATTTACATCAGTCAGCCCTTGCAGTCCTATTACGCCTTTTCATTTCTTTTTTGGGTCACAAGTTCTTCCACAGCTGTGGAAATCTGTCATTGTTCTCCCTTTCCGCAAACCAGGTACTACGGGACATGAAGCCTCCCACTATCGTCCCATTGCTCTTACCAGTGCAGTTTGCAAAGTGATGGAACGCCTGGTAAATGAAATTTGTGGGGGTATTAGAGACACACAACAGTCTCTCCACTCGTCAATATGGCTTTCGTAAGGGACGTTCTATTATAGACCCCTTACTGCGCTTGGATACATATGTTTGTAATGCCTTTGCGAATAACTACTCAGTTATTGCCATATTTTTTGACCTTGAGAAGGCATATGACACAACTTGGAGGTATAATATTTTGGCCCAAGCCCACTCGTTAGGCCCCGAGGCAATCTACCATCCTTCCTTAAGAACTTTTAACTGACAGACATTTCCGTGTTCGGATTAATAATGTGCTCTCCCCGGACTTTATCCAAGCTGAAGGAGGCCGTCGGGCAAAATTCGTAACTCGTTTATTTACCGTCCGATTTTCTCCAGTTTTGGTGCACAAGACAAAGTATTTCACTCTTTCTTGAAAATATTTATCAAAAAATATACCTCAAACAACACTGAGAAAAGACTGATTTACTGAAAATGCCCTTGGGACAGAAGTCATTCTTATATGGGGCTACGTAAGGTTGTTTGGACACTTGGTGCCGAGAGAACAATGCTAATACTTATTTTGACCGATCGATTTCCTCTAAATACCTTATCGTTATTTCACAAAAAAATAAAGTTGGTTAGTTTCTGGAATATTGCAAAAAAATCTGCCCTTTACTTCCCACATAACTCCCAAAGTATTTGGAATATTTCCAAAAACTCATCGTGGAAATAAGAGAAATCTTTAAATTCTACAATATCTGTGAATATTATTCCATTTAATTAAGTAATAAAGGAAGCACTTCCTACTTTAGGTGAATAAGTTTACTTCCGAGATATCGGCCGGAACCCCGGGCCCGGGCCCCCCGTCTCAAAAAAAAAAAAAAAACGCGAAAATCGCGTTTGTTGGGTGTATTTCATAGTAAAATGATGTTCTAGTGCAGTTATCCTCTTCAAAACACCTTTTTCTCTTACTCAGAGACTAAAGAATGGGACATGGAGAGGAGTAACTCAATATTTATCGAAATATTCCCGATAATCTTTCGTCTTATTATGGCCTTTTTATTCAGTCTAGAGAAATATAACATGTTTATATGTTAATTATAGTGCTTATTATATCATATTAGATCAATTCTGATAGACAAATAAGCCGTAGATTGATATATAAGCGTAATAATGGTGATTCCCTGGCACCTCGGAGCGGGAACACTGCTGAGCGTTCCCGTCTGGTTCCCGGTTGTAGCTAAGTCTATGGATAAGTCCCACCTACTGTTATATGATGCCAAATAGTCAGTTATTATATTAGAAAGAATAATGCTAGAAAAGGCGATAAAAACAAGGAAACAACTCCAAAAAAATATATTGGCCGTGAGCAGACTCGCTACCAACATCGCCGTCACCATACCTGATAAAAAAAAGGTCTGTAATTTCTTGTAAAAAACGTCGTAGAACATTCATTCTGGTACCATTGTGTTGCCAAAGAGTTGAGCATTTTTCACTATATATAACTCAACTTCCATATTTTTTCGATTTTTGGGTGAGCGCGGGGGGAAAATTGCCCTACGGCCTCCGAAGGTGTCCCCGAGGGATGTGTTCTTCACACAACACCTTTTCTCCTTGCTATAAATGATTTAGCCTCTAGTCTTCCATCAAATATTTGGTCATCACTCTATGTTGATGACTTCGCTATTGCCTGTGGGAGGCGCTGACTGTCACCTCATTACAGTTTTTCTCCAGCATGCAGTCGACCGGGGTTTCCAATTGGGGCCCCCACACATGGGGTTTAAATTTCCAGTACCAAAACTCACCAAATTACTTTCACTGGATGCTCTGTCATCTCCAATCATCCTATGTATCTCTATGGCTCCCCAAACCCTGAACGTGATACAGTCAGGTTTCTGGCCTCCTCTTTGACCGTAGGTTATCCTGGGGAAACCCCACATTACTTCTCTGAAGGCAACTTTCACAGCCGGCTGAAACCTTCTTAAAACCCTTGCTCATCTTTCATGGGAGCTGATCGTCGGACTCTCCTTCGCCTACATTCCACCCTCATTTTATTGAAACTTGATTGGTGACCAGATCTATTCACGGCCTCCCTGCTACTCTCTCTAGTCTTAACCCCATTCATCACCAGGATTACGTTTATGACTTGGTGCTTTTCGCTCTTCCCCCCGTAGAGAGCCTCTATGCAGAAGCGAACGTTCCATCCTTATCTGATCACCGTGATGCCCATTGCCTTCGCTACTATGTACGTTCTCATGATCTCTGCAATCCTTCCATTTATAGAATGGTCACTGATATTAGTAGACATTCTTTATTTGTTCGCTGCCCTTGTTTACTCCATCCCTTCTCTCTTCGCCTACATTCGCTCTCGTCTTCTCTTCAATTACCACCTTTCTAGGTTCATGAAGCATCTCACTTTTCCCTACCCCCCTGGGAAGTTCCAGCTGTTCGAGTCTGTTCTTTCTCTCTCCCTTGCTTGAAAGCCCAACTGTCTACAGTCGCTTCCCGCTCTCTTTTTCTTGACCACTTCCACTCTCATTCTCATGCCATTGCAGTGTACACAGATGGCTCTAAGTCTTCTGACTGTGTAGGATTTGTAGCAGTGTTTCCGGACAGCGTCGTACAAGGGCATTTACTATCTTTGGCTAATATTTTTACTGCTGAATTGTATGCCATTCTTGCAGCACTTATCCGTATTGCATCTATGCCTGTGTCATCATTGTGGGTTGTCTCAGACTCCCTTAATGCTTTACAGGCTATACAGAAATTTGATACACCTCACCCCTTAGTCTTCCGTATCCAACTTTGGCTACGCCGCATCTTTACCAAGCATAAAGATATTGTTTTTTGTTGGGTCCCTGGTCATGTTGACGTACAGGCAATGAACAGGCAGACACTGCTGCGCGGTCAGCAGTACATGACCTTACCAGTTTCATATAGAGGTGTTCCATTTACGGACTATTTTGCTGCAATAGCTACCCACCTTCACACCCGTAGGCACAACGTTGGTCTACTCTGCTCGGTAACAAACTTCAATCTATTAAACCGAGTATAGGTTACTGGCCGTCTTCTTGTCACCTGTGTCGAGGTTGGGAGACTTCTCTCTCCCGTCTTTGCATTGGCCATACTCGTCTTACTCATGGATATCTCATGGAGAGGCGCCCTGCTCCTCTCTGTGAGAATTGTCTGGTTCCATTATCGGTCAGCCACATTCTGTTGGACTGCCCACTTTATCAACGAGCACGCAGAATTTACCTCCGTCGTCGTCTTCGCTCGCTGCTCTCTCTTACCTTCCCTTCTTGCTGATGGACCCACCTTTTATCCGGACTCTCTCATTGACTTTTTGACAGCAACTGACTTACTTCACAAACTCTGATACCTTCAGCCCTTTCTACCTCAATCTCTTGCTACCCTCTACCCCCGCACTATCCCCTACCCCACTGTTTTCTGTAACCTACTGATCATCCCTCCCCCCTTCTGCCGCCCAACACCCTCGCTTCCTTCCCTACCCTGCAGCGCTGTATAGCCCTTGTGGCTTAGCTCTTCTTTTTTTATTATAATAATAATAATAATCACCATCTGCTGGGTGCGTCATTCTTGTAGGATTGTTTGGTCCCGTGGGTTAGAACGTCATGTGTAATTTTCATTCACCATGAGGTGGGCCAAACGACATGGGTTCGAATCATCGGCTAGTCGCAGTTGTTATTGATTAATACCACTCTTTCGTGGATAGAATACTAATATATTATATATATAAATATATATATTATATATAATATATATATATATATATATATATATATATTATATATATATATATATATATATATGTATATAATGTAGTCATTTTCGTAGTATATGTGTGTTAAAATACTTTCAGTAAACATAATCATAACTCCCGCAGGAGCTACATAATCACCACGCCGAGACAGTGGGTGTCCGGCGCTACTGCCCAGGTATGTGTCTACGTGGACAACCCTTCTGCTCCAGATGGTAAGCTGACCTTCGCTGTCAAGACTTATGACTGGCAACCGGTTGATGAGGATCGGAACTTCACCGTTGTTCCGAACACTGTTGTCCATATTCCTGGAGGTTAGTGGTAAATGTAATTCATATTCAAATAACTGAGTATGTACATTATAATTTTTAAATTCTGGCAAGCCAGGTTATTGGTATCTGCAGTGCTAGTTTGTCTAATAGCTAGTCTCAAACACCATGATTACTTGGGAATTATTAAAGACAGGTTTTGTACCATTCATGTTAATACAGATGCAGCTCCATATTTTAACTACTCAGTTCAGGTTTTCATAGGTGAACTGAATACAATCTGCGGATGTTTGAATATCTTTACACTAGTTAAACATTAATTCAATGCTTCTCCAGTGCTAAAATTTAATTTATGTAGTGTTGATGATTATGTCTCTGCTTTAAGTCTTAATCAGTCACAGAGTTCACTGATGAATTAGTTGTCTCTAGTGCACTAAACAAATGTACTAACACTAAAAATCTACAAAATTATTAGTTATTTATTATTAATATATGCACTATATCTGTAGGGTATAATTGTAGTCAAATTTATAATTATTTTTCAAAATAATTAGAAATTGTTTTTTTCTCATTAAAAAAATAAAACAATTGCAAGTGTTTGGTGACACTTTATTGTGGCAACCTTTCGAGCTCCAGATCTGTTAAGTTGTTACCGGCTTGACAAACCTCCTAGAGAGCGAAACGTTGGCATTAGTGACCTTTTATCTAACATATTGTTGGTAATTCTGAAAGAATGTTGTTTACGTCTACAATTTACCTACACGTTCACATCAAGAAGACTTTAATCCCCAAAATAAGATATCAAGAACAAAGTGAAATTTAGATAAAGAGCGAAGAGAATATTGTAGAATAGTGAGAGCTGGAATAACTATTATGTTAATTTAGATAAAGAGCGAAGAGAATATTGTAGAATAGTGAGAGCTGGAATAACTATTATGTTACTTTCAGGGAAGACTGAGAAGTGCTATGAAGTCGCAGTGCCAAGTTCGACCTATAACTACGGTGACCTGCACATCTTTGGCAGTGTTGCTGGTGTTAACATCAGTCGTACAGTGAGTATGTCTTGGAAGCGCTCCAAGCAGGTTACCTTCATCCAGACTGACAAGTACCTCTACGAGCCTAGCGAGAACGTCAAGTTCAGAATTCTCACAGTGACTGGACCTTATTTAAACGTCTCTACTGACCAGGTAAGAGTCAATAATACCGGCACATGGGCCTCTATAATAGCACAAGGTGACCTATAATATCTACAGATAAACTTAATTTTATAACCCAGACAATATGAAAATAAGTCAATTATTATTATGTGAGTGATCGTTCATTACAAAAGGTAAGATTCTATATTAGCAGTAGCAAGTGTGCAGCCAAAAAAATTTATAACATGTAAATACTATAGTAAATATCTGCCAGCAGCTGAGCAGCTGTAATAACAGTAGGAAAGATTCTATAATAACCCAGCTGGGAATACTGGAGTTAATATTGATCATGAGAACTTCTACAGTGGCTGCAGAAGAACGTCAACAATAACATTTATAACATAAAGGTCGCACTAGATCAAGCTGCCAATATCACATCGAAATTGGTCGTTAATATCACACTGTATGATTAAATATAAGCTGTCTCGTAAAAATTACTCTATATTAGATACCTGGAGTTTACCTCTTAAAACGACAGAACTAAAATAAAATTGGAAAAAGAGCTTAGACTGACATGAAAAAAGTTCAGTATTCGTTTTGTCTGAACTTGTCCTAGCAAATATATTTAAATAAATGTTGCAGTTTTATTACAAAAATATAATTTATTAAAACAAAATAATTTAATTCAATATGTTTAAGAACTTGATGGTATACAAGAATCCTTGAAGGGTAGGAAGAGCACTGATATTTGTGAGTACAGGAACTCATTAATAATTAAATTTTAGTAAAATTCGAATTGCATGCTACAGCATATTTAATTCCTCTTAAAATTATCAATAAATATCTATATACATATATATGTGTTCGAGATATAGATTCTGACATATTATGCACGTTGTTCGTTTTTCCATTCTATTTTTCCTTTTTTTTACTGCATTTTATTTTCAAAAAAAGTTCACAAAAACAGTATATAGGGGTGGTAGGAGAAGAGAATATTCAGCTCCAGGAAGAAACCTCCTGAGTTTTCCTAGAAGTTCTTACATATACTATCTTTTAACATTCCGGCCATATCCCACCGAGGTAGGGTGACCTAGAAAGAAAAAACAAAGTGTCTCTATATATAAATTTAGTTATGTATACAGGAGAAGGGGTTACTAGCCCATTGCTCCGGCATTTTAGTCACCTTTTTGCGACACTTACGGCTTAGGGAGGAAGAATTTTGTTCCATTCCCCATGGAGATAAGCGGAAATAAATAAGAACACGAACTAGTAAGAAAATAGCAGAAAACCATTTTTTCCTGTTTACCTGGGTGTTACTCGACGGGTGTGGGTCGCATCCTGGGGGAAAAGATTAAGGACCCCAATGGAAATAAGTTACAGTCTTCGATGACACACTGACTTTCTTGGTTATCCTGGGTGGCTAACCCTCTGGGGTTAATTGTTTCTCGGTATTCTCGATAAGCCACACCAACAACAGTCTTTCCACATCTTCGAGTAGTACAGCTGATCGTGGTGCAGCAGCAGCAACAGCAGCAGCTGACCATGGTACAGCAGCAGCAGCAGCTGACCGTGTGAAGCACAGCTGACAATGGTACAGCAACGCGACGTGATACGATGATGTATCTACCCTTTTTACCATAGGTTGGCACTAGTGCTTCTTTGGCCCATGGTGCTTATTTAGCAGTACAAGCACTAAAACACTGAATAATACAAAATTTAACGAATGTAGAGTGCAACCGTCCCCCTGGTATAAACAATGTCACACTACCTCTGTAGGCGCTCAGCCAGACGGACCAACGCAAGCGATCGGGACGAATGTGTGTAATGAGTTTTTATCGTAGTCGGGTCAATTTTTACGCTGACAGCATACGTAACATAGTCGTTTTATCGTAGGTTAGTATCGTAAGTCAGTTGTGTGTGTATGTTATATATATAATATATAATATAAATATATAAATATTTATATATTATATAATATATTATATATATATATATATATATATATATTAAATATAAATTGTGGGACCCATAGCCTCGGAGAAGTGGATAAAAAGGCTTCAAGGAAGAAAAATTTTGGATTTCTTCCTGAAGCCGTTTGAATTTTCCACTTCCCCTACCAACCCCATCTTTTAAACTATTTTTTTTTTTACCAAAGGAATATTTTATTACATAATATGGTACAGAAGATTTAAGAGATACATTGTTAATATAAAGGTGGCATATACGGTACATGTTGTTAGTGTGTATCACCGATTAAAGGCGAAAATCTCATCCAGCTCCTCAGAGCTGGGGCGTGTGCCCAAAATGCAGCATGCATTACCCCTTTGAACAGCCGCACTGAGCCGCTGGAACAGAAAACTAGCTGCCCTGGGATCCCTAGTTACCCTGATGAGTCTTTTTCCCAGCTCCTTAAGGAAATTAGATGCACTCTTTCCCCATGAGCCAAGGGTCTCTGAGCCTATGGAACAAACATATAATGATGGGTAAGTTCTCCATATTTTCTAGACTTTTGGGACTCCCTGAAGCTGGCAGCTGCCTCTCCTTCCTCCCTGGTGTATTGGAGATAGGTATCAGCCAAGGTAGATGCACATGTATAGTCCCACACCACCTGCTTCCCATCTGTCCAGGCTTGAAGGGTGATACCATCTGGGACGCTTCTGGCTGCCATCAGATCTGCATAGTTGGGGTGGCTCCCTTACTGCTGGGCATCCAGCTGTTGTGAGGCTCCTCTTGATAATGTTATTAACCTCCTCATGTCTTGCAATCTTTCCCTCGGATTTACGGCACACAGGACCATGGTACCCGAATCGGTCTGCTGCTTCACTGCCACAAATACACCTGTGTTCGGCGAGAATAGGGGCGGCAAGTCGAAGGGCAACACCGATGCGGATGGTCTGTGGGTCGAGGCGTGTGCCAAGGCTGGAGTTGCGAACAGCCAACAGAAAGTCCCCAGCATGAGGGGCTCTCACTGCCAGCAGGCGGGCTCTATCCTTCCCTGACACACTCTGAAGCATCATTGAGGCTATATTTTCCACTATTGGACCATCCCAGTGCGATTGTTTGTAGTTGTTGGGGGGAGCAGGTCTGGTTTCTAAGCCCGTTAGATTATCCCAGATCATTGCTCCGTCAATGAATTTTTGGTCCTGGACTCCAATCTTGTCCCTAAGATGTTCAGGGAGAATCGCTGCTACAAGCTCTCTGGATGCAATACACGAGGACAGAAAAGCAGGTAACGCAATCTGTGATGACTTGCGGACACCAATGCCTCCTAGTCTGACTGGAAGTGTAGCATGGTTCCACTGCCCGTCTTTCTAGAGTAAGGTTAAGTACTTTCGTAAAAATCTGCCTCAGAATACTGTCATATTCGTGCAGTATAGGGTTATCATATGAAGGTGCACATCTTAGGGAATATGTCAACCTGGGCAGACTCAAGCACTTTGTGAGAAGGTACAAGGCATCGTGGTGTCCAGATTGCCTATTCGTTGTTCCATTCTCCTTAACTGTTCCAATTTCTTCCTGAGAATTGTGTCATGGCATTGCTTCCCAGAGGTGCTCCTAGCAAGACACTATTTGTGGGGGCAATGACTGCTGCTCCTGTAGTTTTGATCTCACTGCATTTATCACTTGTTGACTGACTGAGATGATTTCACATTTGGATGGATTCAGGATGAGACCCATTTCTGTCCCCGTGTCAATACCTGTGTAGGTCATGTAGGAGGGACTCCTTTGTACCTGCTAGTGCGCCATCATCTAGGAACCAGATGTTTAGCTCGCTGGTCAGTCTGACTGTGATTCCCTAACTGCAATACAGAAGAGAAATGGTGCAAGAGGATCTCCTTGTTGGACACCCTCCGATGATGTGATTTCATGCTCTCCAAAGAGAAGCATTGATTCCTTGCTATACCCAGCTGAAACAAAAGGGAAGAGACCAGGGAAATGTTCTTGTACTGCTGCTAATACCACGTCTCTTTTCAGGAGATTGAAACGCATTCTTGAAATCTAATTTTACCACTGCATTGTCCTCAGGCAGGTTGTTGATATACGCCCTTGTTGCATGAACCGCTGCTTCGCTTCCTTGAGAGACCCCAAAGCCAAGCTGGTTGGTTGAAGCATCATGGCTGCCTGTGCACGAATACTTCGGACAGCAGCTTTGGATACGAGGCGGCCGTAACGTGTTGCCTACTGCAATTGGCCGAATTCCTCCATCCTTCTTTTAAGTGCACAAAGTGTTGCACCAAAAAGAAAGGTCTAATTTCATCAGGAATCAGACCAGCCAAGGAATTGTTGACGAACCTTGTGATCTCTGAAAGCAGTGTCTCTGCAATTTCCCCAATAACTGGATTAACAATTCCTTTAAATGCTGTGGCCTTATTCCAGTGTAACCCCAGCAGAGCCAGATGGGAACGACATTATTGCTTTGTAAATGTTGGTCTTCCACAATAAATGGTTCCATAGGGGGGAAGGGGTTTTTGGAACGTTGGTGCCCGGGTTCCCGGGCGGGTGTTTTCCCCTCTAATGCTTCACCTTGTCAGCATCCCTGGGGCAATGATTTTCCCCTGGTAAAATTTCTGTTTGGGCCCCACGGTTTCCCTCTTCAATTTTCTTGCTCACCGGACTCTGACTTTTTCACTGTCAGAAGTGAGTGGGGTTCTGCCTCTCCCTTTTTTGGTGTTGAGGGGGAAGGGGAAGAGGTTATCAACTCTGGGAAAATCTCTTAAGAAATTTAATTATATTGAGGCTAGCCTCTTTCCCCTTCTTTCCGCACAGCAAAGCGACATTGCAAAAGTAGCAGTTTTTGCCATGCCTTGATGGTTGGTGGAGCTTTTAAGTAGGGAGCCAATCGTTTACTTTTTTCAGGAGGTCTGTAAGTTCCCAGCTGCGGGGGGAGGGGCTGCTTTGGGAATATGTGTGAGTGTCCTCGTCCTGTTGCTTGATTGCTTCCAAGGATTGCCCGATGAGATGAAATCTGTTTGAGGGGGTTCGGGTGCCTGAGGTGGCTCTGGATCATCAATTTTCCCAAAGGGAGGACATCCTGAACCAGGCAACTACCG